TTATTAGATAATAAAAAAATGCTAATTAAAAATTCTTATTTATAAAAAAATGCTATTTCGGACCATAATAAAATCTACTATCTGGGGCTAGTAACATAATTAAAAAAAAAAAACAACATTAAACTAAATGCATCGAGCTAAAAAGAAGACTGCGAGAAATGAAACCTCTGTTTGGCAAAAACTCCTTATTCAGAAAGTCACTAAGTCACTGACATATCAAACTACCCACGCGTAAATACACTGAGGGGAAGAAATCGTAAAATCAAATAAAAACGTATTTGAATCAAATGAAAACGTATTCAAGGGTAGTGTATAACGCACATTAAGTTTTTTCCACAAGCTGCTTGTAGCAAAACTCGAGCAAAGTTCAAACTGTGAACGTATACCAAAGAAACTCTAAAACTTACTTATGGAACGCGTATGTATAACTCGAAGTGACTTCCGAGTAGCTTGTGGAACAAACCTATTATTTAAGTCCATATTAAAATGTCCGCGCTCGTTCTGAAAAAGCATCCGTGAAGTGAATAATCACACTCGGCTACTGCCAGACATGTAAATGTGCTTTCAAATGTTGATTTTGAATGAACACCACAGCACGCGATTAGAGCATTTGTACAAATAAACATGTACTATTTATGTATGTGTCTGTTCGAATAGATCTCCAGTGGAAAATATCCAGCAGCAACTTGCAAGAGAGTAACGAACGATTATCTTTCAGAGTTGAAAATATTCAAAATTTGTCGTGAAAGCAAAATTAGCAAAAACTTGCAAGTTTCACAAACAGCTGATCAGAATTTTGTTTATATACAAAACCATAAATAAAGAAATTATGAAAGGAATATTAATTAAAAGTTTTCCTAAAGCGATTTGCTAAGCAAACGTAAGTAAATGAGTGTTTGCTTTCTTTCACTAGAAAAATATTTTTTTAATACGTTCGTATTTAAATTGCGTAACAATACGAATTGTTTGATTTTTACTGTGCGTTATTTCCCTCAGTGTAGGTTTTGGCAATATAAATTGGGCAAACACTGTGAAATTCGCAGAGTAACAAACAAACAAAAAACCGAAGATATCATCATCATTATAAAAGCGCGAACAATAAAATCAAATTCTCTCACTTAACTACGTAATATG